ACTGATTTTGATTTTGAGCCATAAAAAATTTTACTTTCTGGAGAAAAGGTTAAAGAAGCTACATCTACTGGTAACAACTTAACAGAAGCACTTATTACTCCTGGTAACAACTAACAAAAGCAGTTTTTTCTGTTTTAGGTAAAAAAAAAAAAAAAAAAAAGATTTCTAACCTTAAAAACCACAACAAAAAAAAAATTTTAGGAAAAAAATTTAAAAGAGCCTTTTTACAGCTACAACAAAAAGGATTGCTTAAGCCATGATCCCCAGATTAAAGATTTATCTCAATTGTTTTAAATAAATCTTAGGAAACTTCAAACAATGATCTAATGATCTGAAAAACTTGGTTGACATTCATGAAGAAAGTGACTCTATGGGTAAACACATTGTTCCGTGTTTGATTGAACATGATTATGAAAGTTTTTTGATGCTTCAAACAACAAGATAGACCAAGTAGACGCAATAAAAAACTCCTACATAGGTATAACTATTCCTGTCAAAAAAGAAATTACGAAAAATAGACTAGATAAGAAAAAGCAGAATATATCTTTGATTTCATTTTTTTTAGTCACAAATATCAAATTTGAAATGGTATAACTTGTGCAGTGTTTCAAATGGTGTAATGAATGTAATTTGTGTAATTTTTCAAATAGTGTTATGGTGAAAATATCTCATTCAGTTTTAACTGCAGAAATGTGTCATACAATTGCATTTAACAATAAAATTTGTAGAGGCAAGAATTATACAAAACTAATTTCTAGTTTAACTGCAGTGTGACCTACTTTAATTCTCCAACTGTCCAATATTTGCTTTGAGTGGTTTTACTGAAAAACAATTGCAACAGATTTCAATAGCACCTAATAAGACCTAATAATAGACCTAATAATAGCAACTAATAATAGCACCTAATAATAGCACCTAATAAGTCAATTTGTCATGAGTGTAAGAGTTTAAGCAAATATTTGAACTAAAAAGATTAGCATCAGATAAATCAAGTTTACTTTATTTAAATCGGAATGTTTTTTAAATTATCTTAATAAAAATCATTACTTTTATTATGTTGTCAGTGATGGTTACATATAGAGCAGTAAAAATAATAGTTCTGGAATCATTTTAATTGTTCAGCTTTTCCTGATGTTATAAAGTACAAAGACAGTAAATTTATGAAATTCTACCACCATTTCGTTTAAAACAGCAGAGAGACTATAAGCTTGCAGAAATAAGATTTTGAAAAAGTCTAAAATGAATTTCAAGCACTAATGCATTAAAATAAACAACATATAAGGATCAAAGGTTGCAAGAACCTTCACGCCGCCTTGGAAGGTAACCCTGATTGGTGCCCTGATTTTTCTAAATTAGTCTACATTATAAGTGAACATTTTTATTTTTTTAATTTTTCCATTTTTATTTTTTTAATTTTTTTTATTAGGCCCTTTGATATCAGCTGCCAGGGACAAACTTTACCTTTTTATTCATGCTTATGTCAAATAAGAATATTTAAAAAAAATTTGCAATGATTGGAGCATGGGAACTAAAATAGCCAAAAATATATACCTCAAATGTGAGGACAATTAGTAGGTTAAATATTTTACTACTTTATCTTGAATCTAAATTCATCAACAGGTTTAAAATTTCATCTAATAACCATTAATTGTTTGAATGTTATGATCATGTACAGTTTAAAATCCCCTTTTTTGGGATAAATGGAAATGCTACGTTTAACTTTCAAACACTAAAAAATTAATAAATAAAATTTTAAACCTGTTGATGAATTTAAATTTAGTATAAAATAAGAAAAAAAAGCATTTTAACTGGGGTAGCTGGGGTGATCTTTTAGGTGTATTTTTGTCCCAGGCTCCATTAAACGTTTCTAATAGGGCTCTGATATAAAGCTAATATAAAGCTAAATTATGTCTTCTCACATCTTATTCATGCTCCAGCCATTAATACAACTTTTCTATATTTTTGTACTTTGTAAACATTTTTTTAAACAAGGAAATAAACTAAACTAAAAACTAATTAGGGGAGAGTGGAATACCATGATACATGGAACACCATGACACATTGTTATTGTAGAAGCATCTTAAGAATTGTGACAACCACTTTCATATGGTAAAACAGGTATAACTAGAGCTAAAAAAACTTGATATCATTTGATATCATTAGATGTTATCATTTGATATCATTAGATGTTATCATTTGATATCATTAGATGTTATCATTTGATATCATTAGATGTTATCATTTGATATCATTAGATGTTATCATTAGATATCATTAGATGTTATCATTTGATATCATTAGATGTTATCATTTGATATCATTAGATGTTATCATTTGATATCATTAGATGTTATCATTTGATATCATTAGATGTTATCATTTGATATCATTAGATGTTATCATTTGATATCATTAGATGTTATCATTTAATATCATTAGATGTTATCATTTGATATCATTAGATCAGCAAAGGGTCGAGTTTTATGTTTTTTTGATGACAAAGTAACATATTAGTTTTTAAAGTTGCTAAGTTTTAAGGTATGTTAATCAATGTGTTTATCGGTACTACAAATATTTTGTAAACTAAAATTTGTAGACTTTTTACTTCACTAAAAAATAATATTGAAAAAACAATTTGATCCTAAACATAAAGCGATTGTTTTCTTTTAGCAAGTTTGAAGTACCTTGATACAATATTTGTGGGGAAACCTAAAACAGTAGAATAGTACTTAATTGTGTAAACAATTTTGAAAACCAATTAAATATTTACAATCATTTTTTTAAGAGATTTATGTAAATATAATACTAAAAGAACCAACTGAGCAGCTATATCGTTTAGTGCTCTTGCCTCAGAAGCTATCTGTGGTTCAATGTCACCACTGGGCAAGTTTTATAACATCAGCATGAACTTTCTTACCTTCAAATGCACTTCTGCAGTGCTCTGTGATAAGACCACAAGAACTTTTTGGGGCAAAACAATGTATTATCAATGTATTTCTAAAAGGTGATATAGACCATTAGGTGCATTATTTGGATTATAATTATTAATTTGTTTGTACAATAAGTAAAAAATTTGCCTTTTGTCTATGCTTTATACTTCATAACTATGCTTTATACTTAAATTTTGTATTTAACTTTTTAATGATGTTCATAGTTTATATCAAGGTACCCCATGTGTGGGGTTAATTTAAATTGAATCTTGATACAAAATTTTAATTTTACTTTTAATAGTCTCACAAGTTTAACCTATTATATTTTGGTAATTAATAAATTTAATTTTGTAGATATAGACTTATTCTACAAAGCAAACCAATTGCCTAAAAAAAAGTGTATTAAAAAAATTGTTACCAGGCAATAACCAAATATGCATCATGATGCCTACCGCATCAGCATTCTTTTTTGACATAAGCATAAACATACTTGAGTTTTGGGTTGCTTGAAAGTTTTACGTTATGAAAATATTATTTTTCTTATCTACACCAAGTGTATTAGCAATAAATGAAATGTATTAACATTAAAAAATCTTATCTACGCCACTGACTCAACAATGACATGTTAAGATAAAGACAATTTATTTATTGAGTAATTTCCCTGTGTTTTAATATACAAAAATTTTTTGATGTAATGTTATTTCAATAATTATAAGAATATTATGGAGTAAAAAACATACACATTCAATCTTAGGATCTTTCCGATTTCTCATAATAGCTAACTTTTGAATGCTACTGAAAATATTTTTTGACAGTTTGATGGCTCATAAGTATTTTTGTAAGCAATATCTTATCAATATTTCTAAAGCCATAAAATTACAACGACATACCCTTTTCAAAAACAATATGATAGCATGCAGGAAACTTTTATGTTTTGAGATAATTGTATTTAAAGTAGGCCCAAAATTCAATAATGTATGATTTCAGTTTATGATTTTTAAACTAAGAAAGGATTTTCCTCTGTTTTTTTGCATTTTTTTTTGATAATTCTACCTATACTTTTTTTAATATAAAAAGAAACTTAGTATACAGTTGCCTGATTGTCTAAAAACTTAGTTTAAAAATCACAAAACCCCAATAATGACTTTCTAAATGTTATAAAGTGAAAAGTTTGACCTACCATAACCCACGAGCTACAAATAATTAGAAAAAAAAAATTTACAGGGTTCTTTTTTACCTAATTAGCATAACTATATCAAAAAGTAAGCATGATTAAAGGATATCACTTTTGAGCCAACATTACTTTTTCCTGGTTTTCTCAGAAAATTGTTCTTAAGAAAAGATTATAAAAGTTTTCTGTTAAAATGCATATTTTTTATTTTAGTCAGTGAAGTAAAAAAAAATTTATATTTAGCCAGTAAAAAAAAATATATATATTTTTGAAATTTTAATAAAATTTCCCTTCTTTTGAGACCCAACATAAAAGACATTTGAAGCACTTTTTCTTATAACATTAATAATTTATATATATATATATATATATATATATATATATATATATATATATATATATATATATATATATATATATATATTATATATATATATATATATATATATATATATATATATATATATATATATATATATATATATATTAAAGCCTGACTCGCAACAGAGTGCTGCTACATCGACTGACAAATAGCCTGGGTTTGGTTTGGACAGGCAGTCTATCAAGTAATAAAAAAAAAAAAAAAAATTCTGGTCTTGCATTTAAATTTTTTTTATGTCAACAAAATATTGGAAAACTTTCTGACAACGTTGCAAGAGTCTATATATATATATATATATATATATATATATATATATATATATATATATATATATATATATATATATATATATATATATATATATATATATATATATATATATATATATATATATATATTATATATATATATATATATATATATATATATATATATATATATATATATATATATATATATATATATATATATATATATATACTAAATAGAATAGAAAATTTTAAATAAATATTCTTACTATTTCCTAATTGTACGAATCTGAAGCTTTGATAATATTCTAACTTGGAGGTCGATTTTACCAATTTTGTAACATAATATAATTGAGAATGGAGAAAGTACCCAGGGTAACCTGAAGATTCTAATGCAAAGTAGCCTGTAAAATATTTGTCATTTCTGATGATAAAAGAAGAACTGTTTTTGAACTGATTTGAGTTAACTTCTAATGGAAGTAATTGGATAACAAAATTTTGTTGACTTATGTACTTATTGGTTTCCTTCACTGATTGTAAAGAAATTGAGTCAGGTCGTCCATTTAATCCTAAAATTATAAAATTATATTTAAACCTAAAACTATGTTTGTTATAAACATGTTATAAACATAATAAAAACAAAAAAAAAAAATGTTATAAACATAAAAAAAAAAAAAAAAATTACAAAACAAAATTTATCTTAAAAGTATTTCAAAATAAATAAATTATTCATTTATTTAATTTAACCTCATTCATAACGTTTTTTCAAAGTTGCAAGCAACCATAATTTACGTTAAGCAGCAGATGATGAAGAATGGCAAGATTGAGATTTGGTTAATGAAACAAGCTTAAACTACTTCATTATATATATATATATATATATTTATATATATATATATATATATATATATATATATATATATATATATATATATATATATATATATATATATATATATATATATATATATATATATATATATATATATATATATATATATATATTTTCAAAATCAAAATTTTAATATTATTAACACCCTATAAATAAAATTTTGGACAAATTTTAATTGCATTTATTATGTAAATTATTTCATGCAAGCAAAAAACCTTTATACTAATGTGAAAGGGGATTTTATAATCTATTTAAATTTATTTCAATTAATTTAAAAATACTATTTAAATATTGAAAAGAATTTAAATATTGAAAAGAAAATGGTCAAAGTAAAGAACCTTGAAAAAATGATGGTAATTTTTTTCCGAAAAAATAGAGAAAAAGGTGACGCGTTTATTGCTAACCAATTAATGGAATGGGGTTTACCCAGATCAACTGCTTACGATAAAATCATAAAATTATAAAATGGATCTCTAAAAAGAAAAGTTGGAAGTGGTCAAATTGCTAAGGTAGCTACTAAAGAAAATATTCCAAAGATTGCTGCATTTTTTGAAAATATGTTAGGGTGCTCCCAAAAGTAAGTAGCTCAAGTTTTTAATTGGAGTCAAACTCGAATTTCCCAAGTATTAAAAACAATGACTAACATTTGAACTTTCAAAAAAACAAATCATTCAGATCGTAGCCATCAGCAGAAGAAAGCTATGCGTCCTAAATGTCGTAAATTGTACGAAAATTATAAAAACTTGGATTTTGTTATGTATGATGAAAGCTATTTTACCTTAAACAATAGCACATTAGCTGGTAATAATAGGTTTTATGCCGCTAATCCTTCTCAATGTTCTGACAAAGTTAGATACAATTTGCATAAAAAGTACGAGGACAAGCTCCTAGTTTCTTGTTGCATCAACCCTCGTGGAATAAGCCGTCTTTATATTCATCACAGTAAGGAGGCAATCAAGCAGTACACATATAAAGATATACAAGAAAAAACTTTACTTCCTCTAGTATCAGAATATTATAAAAAAGACAATGAGTTTATCTTCTGGCCTGATCTAGCTCGATCGCATTACGCAAAGTTGGTCATCGACTTTTTAAAATTGAAAAAAATTAAAGTTGTACCCAAAGATATAAACCCAACTAATGTTCCAGGAGCAAGACCAATTGAAAACTTTTGAGGTAATTTAAAACGGCTAGTGTACAAGAATAATTGGATAGCTGAGAATTTGGAAGAGCTTGAAGCAAGAATTAGATATTGTTATTCAAAGATGAATAAGGAAATTTTCCTTACTCAAATAAAACATCTTTCAAAAAAACTTTTTAATATTACTAAATACGGTATTTGAAATAATTATTTTAATATATTTATAAACTACATATACGAACATATTAACAGTTAAAATATTAAATAATAAAATTTATTAGTTCTTAAAATATTAATTTTGTTAAAAATTTTGTTTAAAATTTTATTTATGAGGTGTTAATATAACTTTGATGTATTTTATTAGTATAATCATATTAGTGGAAAGAAGAATATTTTAAAACATTTTTATTGTTATTACAGAAGTTTTAGATGACTCCTAAAACAAGCAACTGCTCAAAAATGGAATTATGATCCCAATATATTGAGGAGAATATTGGCAATTTAGTTCAAGACATTAAGAGGTAAATTTGGCATTCTTAATGCCATATTAGTTATAATTTTATAATCAGTTTTTATTGTACGCAAGTAGATCCTATTGAGATGCTCAATGCTAGGTCTCAAACCTTATCTGATAAATATATCTAATAAAATCACTGGAAGCAGGCACAACTATAAAGTTTTTACTCATTAAACTTTCAAACTATCATTCAAGCTTTTTTTAAGGTTGAATAATAGTTTAAAAGCTATTTATATTTGTACATATCTTTTACAGACCCGGTGGGAAGTCAGCTAGCGAATAGCTAGCTATAATCGTTACGATAAAGACAGCGATTTGGCCACGAGGATCGCTAGCTTTTTAAAGTTAGCAAAAAGCTATCGATATTTGTAAAGACAAAGACAGCGATTTGGCTACGAGGACAGCTAGCTTAATAAGCTAAAGACTCACAGGCTATTGTAGCTACCGTCATATCGTAATAAAATTGCTATCAAAAAAATTTTGGTATGTAGCTATCAACCAGCTATAGATTTGTAGATATTTTGTAGCTAGCTAAAAAGCTACGATATGTAGCTAGCGACACATTGCTACCAAAACGCAATGTTTAAAGTTCAATTATTCTCATAATAAAAATAGATTCAACACTAAAAATCGAATTTTTAAAGATGTTACAGACATTAAAGTAAAGAATAAAATAAGAAAAAAAAAATCGCTTAAAAATCGCTATAAAGCTAGCTAGTCGCTTGCTAGTCGCTAGCTCATTTCCCACCGGGGATGTTCTTTTTGATGTAATGACTTGGTCATTGAATGTTTTCATTAAGAATCGTTGTTTTTTTCCGCTAGAAAAAAATGGTTTAATTATTTACGATGGAGAAATGCAGATAATCAATAAGCAAAGAAGAAATGCAGAAAATCAACAAGCCCTGTAGAGGGAGGAAGCCATGTAGAGGATTGAAGCCATGTAAAAGATAATATTTATATAAATTAATTTGCAGTATTTTGTAAATGTTAGCCCTGATACTTCATTTAAATATTGTTTTCTTGTATTTTCGATTTTTTTTTTACTTTAAAACAATCCCAGTGAAAAAAATTACATGGGTTTTATGTGGGTTCCCATGCATCTCATACAGAATCCATATAAGAACCCATGTGGGGCTAGTGCTTTTTTTCACTGAGATTAAGGAAACATCCTCAACTCCTCTTGTCTTAACTTTATGAACATCGCTTTTTAAATAAACAGCTATAAACAAAGCTTTAATACAGAGTTGTCCAATGTGTGGCCGCGGGCCACAAAGTGCCCCTTGTTATGTTTTGCCATGGCCCACATTTTCAACTTTTAAAATCAAATGAATATTACATTTTTAAAACTATTTTTTCTGTAGCTCAGGATTAGGGCAGTTTTTTATTACAATTTTAAAAATCAGATTTTTTGAAATTTATTGCAATAGGATTTAAACTACCACCTTATTTTTAATAAAACCGGTTAAAACAGTATTAACTACTTGGTTAGCAGAACTTTAAATATATAGATTTTTTTTAAAAATGGCTTCTGCTAGTGCTAATAAAAGACGTAGAGCTGAAACTGAAAGTGGAAAAGGAGGTCGTATATTTAACCCATCTTGGACAAATGAATATTTTGTCATGGAGCAAAATAATTCAATTATGTGTCTAATTTTGAAAAAATTGCTGTGTGTAAAATGTATGTTGATAGACACTATACTACAAAACATGCAACTACTTATAATAAATTCAAGGGCCAATTTGGTGTTGATAAGCTAGAAATGCTAAAGAAAAATTTTATCGGGCAACAATCAATAATGAAAAGTGAAGTAATTAGCTCATTGAGTGCTACCAAATTAAGTTTTTTTAATTGCAGAAAATGTTGCAAAAAGTGGTAAACCTTTTTCTACTGGAGATTTGATAAAACTCTTTAAAACAATTTTGTAATGAGGTATGCCCTGAAAAAATACAATTTGTTGAAGATCTCAGTCTTTCATACCAAACAATTGCAAGAAGGGTTGAAGGTCTATCAAAGAATATTGAATTAGCATTGAAAGAAAAACTATGTAAGTGTAATGCATATAATCAGGCACATGATGAATCAACAGATAGAGGTGATACAGCTCAGTTATTTTTATTAGATTTATAACATGTAATTTTGAAATAATTGAAGAACTGTTGGATGTCAGACACATGAAAGGCACTACTAAAGAAGAAGATATTCTTTCTGAAGTCAAAAAAATAATGTTAAAGTTTGATTTGGCAGAAATAAATCTCTTTGGTATCACTACAAATGGAGCAAATTCAATGAAAGTAAAAAATATTGGATTTGTGGCATTATTTAAGAAATCTGTTAATCACAACATTCTTTCATATCACTGTATTATACATCAGGAACAGTTTATTATTATACATAATTTGCAAAAGTATTAGAAATGAAAGAAGTCATGGAAATTGTTATCCAAACTGTTAATTTTATAAAAAGTCGTGGCCTTAATCACAAACAGTTCAAACAACTGTTTGAGGATTGTGGAAGTAAAGCAGAAGATGTAATTTATTTCTGCCAACTCGGTGCAGCCAAGGCACTTTTAAAATAATTTTGTGTCTGTATGATATTTTGTTGACTACGATCTTTCCGTTAAATTGTCTGGTTGGTGAATTATGAAAAGATTAAAAGGATAAATTCTGCCCTATCATAAAATACAAATGTTTGTAGAAAAAAAACCCAGACCAAAGGTTCTTTTTTTTTAAAAAAAAATCATCTTAAAATTACAATCGCTCGTCCAAATTTGAATAAGATTTTATATTAATACGTTTTTTAGATGAAATGAATATTTTAATTTAATAATATGATCTGTTCTGATCATTTTTCTATTTGCATTATTCTTTTTGCATTTTTCTATAATTATAAGTTCTTTCTTGGTCAGAATTTTAGTACTTTTTGTGAAAATTGATAGAAATGTTGTGTTTTGACAACTATATATAGTTAATATACGTCAGAACTGATTAGAACTATGATCAGTAGTAAATTAAGGAATAA